ATCAAAAAATCGACCCGAAATTACAAGCCGACATTTAAATGCAGATTCTTGGAAAATTAAGCCTCAAACCTAAAGAGCTATTCCTTTTTAAAATCAGATATCTTTAAGAAAAGTTATGGCCTTGAAATGGCTAGATTTAGGTCACTTTTCTGCAAAGCCATTTTTTTACAATGTAAATTTTGTTAAATCGACAGGAAAAACGCCATTAATTTTAAAAGCAAAATTTAAACGCAGATTCTTAGAAAACTAAGCCACAAACCTATGGAGGTATGCCTTTTTGGAATCGGATTTCGGAGAGAAAAGTTATGCAATTAGAACTGCTGGTTTTAGGTCATATTTCAACGAAGCTATTTTTGGGAAAAATAGAAAGGGGTTACATCATTAAAATATCAAAAAATCGACCCGAAATTACAAGCCGACATTTAAATGCAGATTCTTGGAAAATTAAGCCTCAAACCTAAAGAGCTATTCCTTTTTAAAATCAGATATCTTTAAGAAAAGTTATGGCCTTGAAATGGCTAGATTTAGGACACTTTTGTGCAAAGCCATTTTTTTACAATGTAAATTTTGTTAAATCGACAGGAAAAACGCCATTAACTTTAAAAGCAAAATTTAAACGCAGATTCTTAGAAAACTAAGCCACAAACCTATGGAGGTATGCCTTTTTGGAATCGGATTTCGGAGAGAAAAGTTATGCAATTAGAACTGCTGGTTTTAGGTCATATTTCAACGAAGCTATTTTTGGGAAAAATAGAAAGGGGTTACATCATTAAAATATCAAAAAATCGACCCGAAATTACAAGCCGACATTTAAATGCAGATTCTTGGAAAATTAAGCCTCAAACCTAAAGAGCTATTCCTTTTTAAAATCAGATATCTTTAAGAAAAGTTATGGCCTTGAAATGGCTAGATTTAGGTCACTTTTCTGCAAAGCCATTTTTTTACAATGTAAATTTTGTTAAATCGACAGGAAAAACGCCATTAATTTTAAAAGCAAAATTTAAACGCAGATTCTTAGAAAACTAAGCCACAAACCTATGGAGGTATGCCTTTTTGGAATCGGATTTCGGAGAGAAAAGTTATGCAATTAGAACTGCTGGTTTTAGGTCATATTTCAACGAAGCTATTTTTGGGATTAAGCCTCAAACCTAAAGAGCTATTCCTTTTTAAAATCAGATATCTTTAAGAAAAGTTATGGCCTTGAAATGGCTAGATTTAGGTCACTTTTCTGCAAAGCCATTTTTTTACAATGTAAATTTTGTTAAATCGACAGGAAAAACGCCATTAATTTTAAAAGCAAAATTTAAACGCAGATTCTTAGAAAACTAAGCCACAAACCTATGGAGGTATGCCTTTTTGGAATCGGATTTCGGAGAGAAAAGTTATGCAATTAGAACTGCTGGTTTTAGGTCATATTTCAACGAAGCTATTTTTGGGAAAAATAGAAAGGGGTTACATCATTAAAATATCAAAAAATCGACCCGAAATTACAAGCCGACATTTAAATGCAGATTCTTGGAAAATTAAGCCTCAAACCTAAAGAGCTATTCCTTTTTAAAATCAGATATCTTTAAGAAAAGTTATGGCCTTGAAATGGCTAGATTTAGGACACTTTTGTGCAAAGCCATTTTTTTACAATGTAAATTTTGTTAAATCGACAGGAAAAACGCCATTAACTTTAAAAGCAAAATTTAAACGCAGATTTTTAAAAAACTAAGCCACAAACCGATAGAGGTATGCCTTTTCGGAATCGGATTTCGGAGAGAAAAGTTATGCAATAAGAACTGCTGGTTTTAGGTCATATTTCAACGAAGCTATTTTTGGGAAAAATAGAAAGGGGTTACATCATTAAAATATCAAAAAATCGACCCGAAATTACAAGCCGACATTTAAATGCAGATTCTTGGAAAATTAAGCCTCAAACCTAAAGAGCTATTCCTTTTTAAAATCAGATATCTTTAAGAAAAGTTATGGCCTTGAAATGGCTAGATTTAGGTCACTTTTCTGCAAAGCCATTTTTTTACAATGTAAATTTTGTTAAATCGACAGGAAAAACGCCATTAATTTTAAAAGCAAAATTTAAACGCAGATTCTTAGAAAACTAAGCCACAAACCTATAGAGGTATGCCTTTTCGGAATCGGATTTCGGAGATAAAAGTTATGCAATTAGAACTGCTGGTTTTAGGTCCTATTTCAACGAAGCTATTTGTTGGAAAAATGGAAAGGGGTTACATCATTAAAATATCAAAAAATCGACCCGAAATTACAAGCCGACATTTAAACGCAGATTCTTGGAAAACTAAACCACAAACCTATAGAGGTATGCCTTTTCGGAATCGGATTTCGGAGATAAAAGTTATGCAATTAGAACTGCTGGTTTTAGGTCATTTTTCAACGAAGCTATTTTTGTGAAAAAGAGAAATGGGACACCATTAAAATATAAAAAAATCGACCCAAAATTACAAGTCAACATTTAAATGCAGATTCTTGGAAAATTAAGCCACAATTCAGAAGTGGCAATTTTGATGCCAATAAATGGGATTTCCACTCAAAGGAAAGCTTTGAAAACCGTTGGAAACAGCAACTAACTGTTGCTTAGTATTTTTTCCAAAAGTCAGCTGGTATGAAGTGAGGGCTCTTTATTTTCGTCCGCTCTGGTCACACTCGCACCTCCTCCGCAATCACACTTCTTGCATAATTTACGAAACACCTCTCACTTCGCTTTCAAAGTTCGCTGATTTAGGTCTGGTCTTGAAGAGTGAAAAATCGTCCCGTCATGCAGTGTCCGTTCCTGAACCGCTTCACCGCCAGCTTCGTGCGCAACTACGCGGAGACCCTGTGCCAATCCTACGGGATGCACTGCCCCGTGGCTGGCAAGACCTTGGCTGCGGGCGAGAAGAAACTTTCACTCGCACTCGCCGCCCCAAGTGTTACAAGGTCTTACTCGACGGGGGCTACTACGACTACTGACGTAAACGCCAAGCCCGTAAGAGCATCTGCTGACCCTGGAAAGGCGGCCGCGGAGACCTTTCCCTACGAGCGCTTCTTCAACGAGCAGATCATGAAGAAGAAACGCGACCACTCGTACAGGGTCTTCAAGAAGGTCAATCGGCTGGCTGGCGACGGGCTCTTCCCCCACGCCCTGGAGTACTCGGAGCGGGCGGAAAAGCCCATCACGGTGTGGTGCTCCAACGACTACCTGGGCATGTCCGCCCATCCGAGTGTGAAGAGGGCCGTTCAGGAGGCCCTCAATATGCATGGATCGGGGGCAGGTGGCACCAGGAACATCTCAGGCAACTCGCTCCACCACGAGCGCCTCGAGCGGAAGCTGGCCGAGCTCCACCAGAAGGAGGCCGGCCTTCTGTTCACCTCGTGCTTCGTGGCCAACGACTCCACGCTGTTCACGCTGGCCAAGCTCCTGCCAGGCTGCCAGATATTCTCGGATGCGGGCAACCACGCCTCCATGATCATGGGCATACGGAACAGCGGCGTGCCCAAGCACATCTTCCGACACAACGACGTGGACCACTTGCACCAGCTGCTGGCGCAGACGGACAAGAGCACGCCCAAGATCGTGGCATTCGAGACGGTACATTCCATGACGGGGGCCATCTGCCCGCTGGAGGAGCTGCTGGACGTGGCCCACGAGCACGGGGCCATCACGTTCATCGACGAGGTGCACGCCGTGGGATTGTACGGCGACCATGGCGCCGGAGTGGGCGAACGGGACGGAGTGCTGCACAAAATGGACATCATATCGGGAACCCTGGGTAAGGCGTTCGGTAACATTGGGGGTTACATAGCCGGGTCCGACAACCTGATCGACATGATCCGATCCTATGCGGCTGGCTTTATCTTCACCACCTCGCTGCCGCCCACTGTGCTGTGTGGCGCCCTGGAGGCTGTCAACATCCTGGCATCGGATGAGGGTCGTCAATTGCGCCACATGCATCAGCGGAACGTCTCCTATCTGAAGAATTTGCTGAAAAGAGAAGGTAAGATGTAATTTTAGACTTTATGTAACATTTAATTTAAGGTTATTCTCGCACTTTCGTTTTATTACGAGTGCTGTCTATATATATCTGCAATATTACCTTCGGTTTACTGACTACATACATTATACTCTCCATTTTAGGTTTTCCCGTCGAAGAAACCCCGAGTCACATCATTCCCATTAAAATCGGAGACCCCCTAAAAAGCAGTCAAATCTCAAACGTGCTAATCGAACAATTCGGACACTACCTGCAGTCGATTAACTACCCGACAGTAGCCCGCGGCCAGGAGAAACTCCGACTGGCCCCCACCCCCTTCCACACTTTCGAAATGATGAATGCCCTGGTTACCGATCTGAAGAAAGTGTGGGAAATGGTGGACCTCTCGACCAACGTCCCGCTTTCGCCCAACGGATGCATGTTCTGCAACTCGGAGAGCTGCTGGCACCAGGATGCGTCCCCCGACCTCGAGTGTGGCATCCCCAACTGCCCCAGGCTGGAGATCTCCGTGGCAGCATAGTATTCTCTTGTGAAAGGCGTCTAACAGAAGCATTCGAAATATTAAGCTATGCCTAAAATTATCTTTGTGGTTTGGGACAAATAAACAATGGTTTTGGTGCAATATAAATGATGTAATTTTTTATTGGAATGGCTAAAGCTGATTGGTGACGCCTCAAGGGGTGATAAGACTTGAAGTGTCACCTTAAATAAGCAATTGCGTGCTTCACGAACGAAGTCCAGAGACTTGCAAATGGCATTCTAATTAGGGAATAGCACGTCAGAAGTCTCCTTGAAACTTGACCCAAATTTAAATTCGAAAAGATATATTGAATTTCCATTTTCCTGGAAATAAATATAAGATATAAAAGCTCACGTTATCCCTAAAAGGGCTTACCTTGTTCGAAACAAATTAATGAAATTGATACCACTCAATTTTAGCATTGGCAGGGTGAGTCAACAAAAAACTAATTCGATAACCGTGACCCACCCAATAATGTTTCAATGCTATTTGATGTATAGATAATTGTTCATTTTTATACAAGTTGATAAGAAGAGAGTTTGTACACATATACATATTTTGGTATTTAGGCAAGGCTAGCTTAACAGCTGGAGATTGTAAACAATGATTCTACCAAACAGATCTGTACTGGACTCGAAGACAAACTTAATCTTTGAACAAGCTTTTTCCCGGACTGTATCTTTAACTTGAAAGATCTGAGGAGAGTTTATATCTTCAGGATAAAAGGGTTCTTGATGAAACTGGGCTCCATCGGAGGAGTACATGATTATTTCCGATTTCTGACCAGCAAATCCTCCTTGAAATTGAAAACAGAAGCCAGAAATTTTTTGCGGCTCATCCAAACTCAGGGTAATCCATTGGGGGGTTCCCTGAAAAAACCGTTAGAAAATTTTAAAACATTAACTCTAAAGTAATATTTTTTTTTTAAACAGACTCAAATACCTCATCGGAACTCCAAGATGTATCTTCTTTCATATCAAACATAAACTGTTTTCCATATTGCTTCACTTCCTTGTTCAAAACTGAGCTTACCCTGAAAATACAAGTTTAGCACTAAGAAATTCCAAAGAAAATTCAATAATACCTGCAAGTATAGTTTACTTTAGTTAAAATATTCATGTTATCATACAAATAACAAATAAACAAAACTCGGACCGCGAGGTTGATGGTATTAGAGATGGACAATTATGGTAAATACAGCATTAACCTTTTAAAAGTGAAATTTGGTAAAGTTTTCAAACTGTAGATAAATACAAAAATTCACCCCTTGGTTGGTTTTATTTAAATTAAATTATTTATAAATGCAACTTGGTTTTTAAGAAAAAACCTAAACGAAATATCGATATCAATTATTGGTTTTGCAGCCCTGGTCAGAAAGTAAAACAGCTGGCAGTTTAAACAACATTTCTTATTTATCAAAGAAATAAAGATGATAAAAGCTATACTCGTTTTTAACAACCATGGAAAGCCGAGGCTATCCAAATTCTATCAGTATTTTGTAAGTGCTAGAGTGTATTACCGGGAACCCCAAAATCTAAAACTTTCTCTGTAGGATGAAAGCCTGCAACAACAAATAATCAAGGAGACTTTTCAGCTGGTTTCCAAGCGGGATGATAATGTTTGTAACTTTCTGGAGGGCGGAAGGTGAGTAATACTTATGAACATATACCCGGGATACTAAAAACCGCCTTTAATACTTAGCTTAATTGGCGGATCGGACTATAAGCTTATCTATCGGCATTATGCCACGCTGTACTTTGTTTTCTGCGTGGACTCCTCAGAAAGCGAATTGGGAATCCTGGACTTGATACAGGTCTTTGTGGAAACCCTCGACAAGTGTTTCGAGAATGTCTGTGAGCTGGACTTGATATTCCACGCCGATGCAGTGCACCACATACTGTCAGGTTTGGAAAATATCAACCATAAACCCAATAGTTTGAGTCATTTTGGTCCTGTTTCAGAATTGGTAATGGGCGGAATGGTGCTGCAGACCAATATGAACGACATAATGGCCAGGATCGAGGAGCAGAACAAGATCGTCAAGCAGGAGGCGGGAATATCGGCTGCTCCTGCTCGAGCTGTGAGCGCCGTGAAGAGTATGAACATTCCACAACAGATCAAGGACATTAAGCTGCCTGATCTGCCGCAGGCAATCAAGGACTTCAAGTTCTGACAAATCTCACACCTGCCTATAATCTGTTGAAACTAGTGCTTTGCCGCAGTCCTTCAAGAATTTCCAACAGCAATTGACATACTCCTGGATTGTTGTTTCCGTAATCTTAGGTCCCACTGATTCAATGTATCTCCCTCTACCGAATAAATACGCAAAATAATTACTAATAGCAAAGACGAAATGGTTTTTTGATTGCTTAACAAGGTGTATCTGTTTTATATCGAAAAGTGCTTAAAATGTACATATAAATTGGCTCTTTGAGTGATCTGTGTGCTGAATTTACTTAACATTTAAATTTAAAAAGTGTCCACTCTATAAAATATATACAACAAATGCCTTAACTTTATTTAAAAATCAACTGTTTGTACTTGGGTACTCCAGATCATCTTCTTCCCCCACTTCCAGCATAACTTGCATTATTTTTCGCTTTAGCCTTTTGCGTGAAATCTCAGAGTTGAGGTTTCGGAATTCACTGGCGATTAGTTCCCCAAAGGCATCCCATTGGTCCCGACCACTTGGTGGGATGTGGACAGGAGCTGAAATGGTGGGTGTCTCTGCCAGGCGACTTGGAGCAGATAATTTAAAGGATGGCGCAGGTTCTGTAGGCATTGGAATAGGTTCGCTGAATTTTGGCTGCTCAACGACTTCTGTTTCGTTTTCCATGATCAATGATTCCAGGTTTTCTATTGAAGACTGACTCTGTTTTGACACTTCCTGTTCGGCGTAGCTAAAGTCCACCTTTGTGATTAGTTTCTACAGACGAGAAAGAAGATTAGCTGACTGATGGTTAACATATTCGGATGCTCCATTACCTTGCATTGAGGACCCTGCTGATATCCTGGTCGGGGTTCAATAACGGAGCGTAGAAACATCAGGGATTTGAAGTGCTCCCAGCGACAGGTCTTTTCCGCCGAAGAACTTCCCGATACCTCAAGGCGTCGCTCCAATTTCTTAAGTTCCGAGTTGTATTGGTTGCGTAGGTTGTGTATTTTCTTGCCATAGTCGTTTTTCGTTATCCCGAGGCCCGTGCATATGGAATCAATGGCCTTGGTTCGACAGTCCTTGTTTTTATACAAATCAGAGTAGTGATTCCACAAACAATCCGAAGATCGGTACAGTTCAATCAGCTTGGAAATCTTCTCGCGCGTCCAGATTGTCTGCTTCCTTCGCTGGCGTCCTTGCCTCTTGGTTAGCTGAAAATCGCCAACTTCCTCGGTTTTATTTGGCATTTTAGCAAACAGTTAAAAATTGGTTAAAATGCATTTATTTATTATAGTGCAGATTAGAGATGAGCAAAACATAACAATCGAATATCTTAAGGCTATCGATACAAGGCAATATACCAAAATTCCAATTGGCAGTATTTTCAGTATTTTTGTTAAGTCGTTGTATTAGCAAAGAAATAATTTTAAAATGTATTTATTTTTTATATTAATATTAGATTATATATTATATATATTATAATTTTACAGATTTCAGAATGTATCATTAAATAAAAAGTTTATGGTTTTGGTTAAGAACCTAAAAGAATATATAAATGGTATAAAATGTATATATAAGAACCAATGATTATAACACATATAATGCAAATAAACAATGTTTTAATTTTTATTCCCCCATGAAAAACTTGTTACAAAAACGGAAAAAAAATGAGCTGAGCCGATAGTTCCACTCACGAGCCCATTCACTCGCATCTTTTGCACTTATCGACTAGTCGATATATCTCATCGCAATTAAATAGATGTACTTCAGTATATAAATAAAATAAAGTAAAATAAGTAAATCTGCTGGAATATGCAATCGCGCTAGCCGAAAACAATTGGAAAATGTGTGTGGAACACCCAGAGCGAGTGTAGACCGTTATCCGTGCTGGCTATGGTGACGAGGGACCACAAAACTGATAAATCCGAGGCCGACGCCCACTGAACGCAGTTTCCTGTACAGGAGTTTAGTTTTGGATAAACGCAAATTGGGTAATTAACTGAGAGAGCAGTGCGATTCTGGCCCTACAGCACCTCCATTTCCGATTTCAGACACTTTGGCTCCGCTGGAGTGCACCCCCAACGTAAGCGCAATGTCACAAGTAATATCTAACACGCCCACACCCCAAATGCTGACGACATCAACGCCCATAGAACCCATGAAACCACCACCAGCGTTTCCCACGCTAGGCGGTACAAACATGCACGAGCAGGCGTCGGACATGATACTGCGGGCCTCCACCATTTTCGGGGACCTCAAGCACGACGGACAGGATCTGGAAAACGTGCCCCATGGAGTTGAGACTGAGGCGGATGAGGATTCGCCGTACGGCGGCAACGGCAGCTCCAAGATTCGCATCATGCCCAGCGTAAAACTAATGGCCGCGCCACACGCCTCCGATCCCAAACGAAAGTTCGTCTGCCCCTACGACAACTGTACAAAGAGCTACGGCAAGAGCTCCCACCTGCGGTCCCACCTCACCTGGCACACGGGCATCAAGCCCTTCGTCTGCAGCGAGCCCAAGTGCGGCAAGGGATTCACCCGCTCTGACGAGCTCAACCGGCACCTGCGGACGCACACCGGCGAGAAGCCCTTCGAGTGCATCCAGTGCACCAAGAAGTTCTCGCGCAGCGACCACCTCACCAAGCACCTGGCCACCCACGACCGCCAGCTGAAGGGCAGCACGCCGAAGAGATCGGTTCCCGGCGGCGGAGTGCGACTCAAGCCCTCGAAGAAACACTCCCAGTCGGAGTCGGACTCGGGCTTCCACTTCATGGCCGCGATGGTTGGCTGCGGCGACCAGGGAATGGAGCATCACCATCAGCAGCAACTCACCCAGCAGCACCAGCAGCCCGCGGACATTGTCGACTGTCAGCACAAGCCGCTCAAGATCAAGCTGGAGCGGCCGGAGCACAGCGACAAGTACCAGATCGTGGCCCCGGAGCACCAGCAACAGAGTCAGGGACAGAACCAGAACCAGAGCCAGCTGCCATCTTTCCTTAACCAGGCCAAGCCCGAGGTGAAGTATGAGCCGGCCGACGAAATTGTAAATACCCTATCTCAGTTACCGCCTGCGGACGGCCCTGGCACCTACGGCATGCCACAGTTTGTCCAGGATCGGCCCTTCCGGTGCCGGCAGTGCGAGAAGCGGTTCAAGCGGCAGGACGACCTCAACCGGCACATACGAACGCACACCGGCGAGAAGCCCTACGCCTGTCCACAGTGCTGCCGCCGGTTTGTGAGGAGCGATCACTTGAAAAAGCACCAGCAGACGCATTTGAAGATACGATAGTTTCTTAGTTGTAATACTTAAGTCGCTAGCCATTGGCATCCAGTTTATATTGGCTAAAACACGGGCGTGTGTCGGGTGACGCACACAGTACAATAAAATTAAATAAATTCGCAATCTAACAATATTCCTACGCAAGTCTTATGCTGGCTCTTAAATCTCAATCTCAATTTATCAATTTGTATGTATGTAAATAAGTCGTATGCAATTTTAATTTTAACTCTAATTGTTTTGTGTTTGCCAGAACATGAAGATATATTTTGAAACCTCTTGCTGTTTTTTACTTTTTGGCTACTGTACTCGTATCCGTAAATATAATTTATTGCAGTGTATCTGTTGTGCATGATTATGGGATAGCTGATACATATGGAAAAACTCATTAGGAATCTTATATGGGTTCGAACCTTTTTGGATTGAAATACAATCAACCGAGCCAGATAAGTTCAATATTCTTGAGATACAAAAGTATCTGATAAACAGGGAAATTATCGTCTATCGATATGGATGAAAGAGCAAGCATTATCGATAACGACACTGTCATCACTATTTGCATTTTGATTCCTCCGCAATTTAGGCAATGTTTTGTATTACCTCAAATAATTAATTAGAAATAATGTGCGACTTTGATGTCTTGTGGGCGGATGTATTGAAAATATTTCCAGTTTTGGGTGGCTCGGTAAGATTAATTCCTTCATTTATAACTATGAATTGGTTCTTATACTCGTAAGCTCTTCCAGAATGCGGTTTCCACTGATCTAGTTGAGGAGAAGGTGTTCGAAAACGTTCGCCGGCACCTGAAAATCTTGGGGAGCATAGACACCTTCACGGCCCTAGTGGACCTGGAAATCCAATCGGCCATTCGCAATGTCCTGGTTCCAAAGTTCTGGAAACACTTCCATGCCGGCTTGGTCCCGTCGGAATTGCAGGGCGGGATTAACGACCAGGCTCAGGCCATTGAGGCACTGCCCGACAAGAACCGACTGTTCACCCAGTTTATAGATGCCATCAACGAGCTGCACGATGGTTTCCAGGGCCTGATGCTGGTGAAGCCCAGACTAATCCAGCTTATTGGGAGCGAAGGCAAGCCCACTCCGAACTCGGTCAAGTTAATGCAGGAGGATGGGATCAAGAACTGCCTGAGGGACTCCCTGCTGGCTCAACTGCCCCCCACTTTCAGTGTGGTTGTGGGGGCCTTCTACTGGGTGCACTTTAAGCTCTTCACCAAAGCCTCGCATCTCGCCCTGTCCACCGTTGGTATACTAATAATCGTAATCTTAATCTTATAGTCGTCATACTAACTTACTCTCCTCTTCAGACTCTGATGTGTTCGACGAGCTCCTGTGCGTGGGCTGCAACTTCGATGTGGAGCAGTGCTGTTGCCTTAGGCTGACGGAAATGGTCAACAAGACAAACATGAAGCTATTCGAGATGAACCTCATCGATCGTCTAACTGGAAGTGCTTTGACTGCGCTCATCAAGCTAAAAATCAAGGAGCATATCAACGACACATGCATGGGGATTTTCGATAGGAGTCATCTCAAGCAGCTGGAAACAGTGAGTGTATGCCCCTCTAGTTGTTCCCAATAATTTAAATTTAATACCTTAACAGTGGCTGTCGGATGTTATAATGTCCTGGCTGACAAACATATTCACAGAATGGAAATCTAAAGATGATACCAGCGAAATAGAAATTCCCGAGTCTGTCAAATCCTTCAAAGTCAAACTTACTTACTTTATGTACGAAACATTCGCTCAAAGCGTTATTGGTCAATTCTTTAGCATTATTATAGGTAAGCTTCAGTTATACCATTTTGAATTATTAATTAACATATTAATATTGGTAAACAGACTATCCAGATTCCATACCTGCCATAGATGACTTAAAGATTTGCATGGAGAAAATTGATATGCGAGTCTACCTCACTGAATCCCTGAGAAACTCTCTAGAAGCACGAATCTTGCATCCTGGAGTCAATACCATGGACATATTAACCGGCTATGTGGCAGCAATAAAAGCTATTCGTCATCTGGATAATACAGGAGTGATTTTGGAGATGGTTACTGCTCCAATAAAGGATTATCTGAGGAAACGTAACGACACAGTGCGACGTGTGGTAACCGGGTTAACTGAGGAAGGACCCACGGACTTGTCCGAGGAACTCGCCAAGGGTGAATCGATTAAGGAAGGCAAGGACTCTGGTGCCGACGAGTTCAGCAACTGGGAAAATTGGGAACCGGATCCATTTGGAATAGATGCGAGCATCATGCAGTATAATAGCTCGAGGAAAATGAGATCAGCTGACATTATATCAATGGTGGTTGATATATACGGCAGTAAGGAGCTGTTTATGACGGAGTATCGTAATCTGATGGCAGATAGACTGTTGGCTCAGCTAGACTTTAATTCAGAAAAGGAAATTCGCAATCTGGAACTGCTGAAGATCCGTTTTGGGGAGTCCCTCCTGCACAGCTGTGAGGTGATGTTGAAAGATGTCACCGACTCAAAACGAATCAACGCCCACATCCATAGCGATGGCAACCGTACTGAAAGTGAGTTAATACCTATTATAGTCCAGCATGTGAGAATAGTGTCCAATGCACTTCGGTTTTTTTTTTTAAATGCTGATCTGTTCTTTAAGCCATTGGAGTCATGAGCCCCGTGAACTTTGACTTGGAGAACATGGGTTGATCGAATGACTCATGAAAACAATGGGAAATATGACTCAAATCATGCAGGGCTCTAAGATCTATCCTTAAGACTTACATTTGGTTATAATGAAACCTGTCTTTTTAGATCAGTTATTCGACATCTCTTCGCTGATAGTTTCGGCACAGTTTTGGCCTTCCTTTAACAAAGAGAGTCTTCAACTGCCTGAGGAGATCGAGAACGAGTTCAAGAAGTACACAAAGGCTTATGAGGCGTACAAAGGAAACCGCACTCTAAACTGGCGTACAGTAACTGGTCGTGTAAATATTGAAATTGAAATCGGTGACCGAACCATGGAAATGGTTGTTAGCCCAACTTTGGCGGTCATTATATACCACTTTCAAAACAAGAGTAAGTAAATAGTATACCACAAATCAGATCAGCAAGTCAAAATAAAGTTTTTCAGGTGAATGGACTATTGAAGACCTGAGCTCTATTACAAAAGTTCCACCGTCTGCTTTGCGACGTCGTCTGAGTTTTTGGCAAAATCACGGAATGATTTCGGAAACAACGCCAGGCGTCTTTTCTCTGCTGGAAAAGGAGTCCGAGAAATCCCAATTCGAAGACATGAGTCTCGCAGAAGCCGACGAAGAGGATTTGGAATCCGCAATGGCTTCAGCAAGTGATCAAAGGGAAGAGGAACTGCAAGTAAGTGTAGTCAATGTTCAACCTATGGATTTTTAGATATTAATATGCAATGTTCTTCCTTAGGTTTTCTGGTCCTACATCGTTGGCATGCTCACGAACCTGGACTCCATGCCAATTGACCGCATCCATCAAATGCTTAAGTTGTTTGCCTCCCACAGCGGTGGAGTGGAATTCACTCAGGACGAGCTGAAGCACTTTTTGCAGCGCAAAGTCAGAGAGCACAAACTCATATTTTCGGGTGGAGTTTATCAATTGGCGAAATAAATTTTGGAAGCTTATCAAAATTAGTTTTTGCAACGACTGAAGAAATCATGAAATAAATAAATGAATGAACGTGATAACGTATGAAATTTACTGTTCCAGGCTGGCTGAACGTTACTTTTTCCTTAACTGTCGTCTAATCTATTTCTATTCAGGGCTTATCTGTCGCCCGCGTACCCTGAAAAGCCTTCACTTTAACTTGTTCTCCAGTGAATAGCTTGAAGATTCCGAACAGCATGCAAGCAAACAGGTACACAATAGAATAGACACCATCAGATACGTCTAATGCTTAATTTATTTAAGGTTATATTCATTTATATGCTAATCCCGTTATCAACAAATTCAAACTTTTTAGGGTTCTTAAACTAAAGGCGAAGAAAAGTGTACTTGGTTTTGATATACTCTACAGGGTTAAACAGTTTTTGGTTTCATAAAATAAATCACGAAATCAGTGGCTAAATCGATCACTGTATACACGCAAACAACTTGTGCTAATTTAATTATGTAATCGTTCTTAACTGTAATCTGTACATCAAAAGTTACTTCAGGTATGAAGACAGGCTAGTCCTCGTGCAAGAATCGAGCTTGGTAGATTTTTTCCCGATGAATGGGGCTCAGCACAGCGTTTAGAATGGGCGAAATCCGCCTGATCCGCTGCTGAAAGCGATCCCGATCCCGGGCCATCACCTGCCACTCGCTCTTCCTGGCCGCGCGGTAAGCATAGTCCCAGGCGAGCATAACGTGCACTTCGGGTTTCATGTTAAAGCGAACCTTGGGGTGTTAAAAGTTAATAGATTAGTTATGCCATTTGTTTTGAGCGTATTTGAGGGTATGACTAACACACCTTCTTGACGGATGTCGAGCTGTCGTTGCTGCACTCGCAGGGCTCGGTCTCCTCGGTATCCTCATCTTCACCGCATGCTGTGAACTGAACGCTGCTGTCGTCGTCGTCATCATCATCGTCTTCGTCGTCGTCTACCTCGTCGTCCTCCCGATCCTCCTCCTCCGCATCGTCCTCAAAGCAAATGAAGCTATCCTCGCTGCACTCGGAGATGCTCCGCTGTCGCTGCAGGCGATCCCCCTTGGCTGACGCCGCTCCCGAGCTCCCAGCATTGTTGTTCCTGTCACTGGCCACCTGACTAGAGGGGCACTCCTCCGCGGGCTCCTTGAAGCTGGGCTGCGGATGGGGATGCAGGTCGATGAAGAAGTAGCAGGACGCCGGAACGCAGCGGCGCAGGGCGTCCAGTTCGAGGCCCGCCATCTTGGCGCCCGGCGGACTCTGCGAATTGACGCACTTGTGCAGCGCGGTCTGCATCTGGCTGACCACGTCCATGGCCATCAGCTTGAAGGACATCATGGTGGCCAGCGGATCCAGGGGGTCGGACTGCATGGGCGGGATTAGCAGATCCTCGGGGACCTCCAGGGGTTTGGCCTTGGCCTCGGGCTCCTTATGCACCTTGTTTGGCTTCCACAGCGAGCCAGTGGACAGGGGACGCGGCGTCGGTCCGAACCGATAGTGTTCGTAGATGGGGGAACTCATGTTCGCAATCAGGCGGAGAACAAAGAGGAAGGGGTCAAACAGCGCGCCCATAAGGCTGTGAAATTTCGACATCTAAACTTAAAGACACAAGTATGCTGTGGTAGGGATCCCTTGCGTAAGGCCATTTTCTTGAATTTGGCTTTGGGTGGCATCGTGGCCATCTCAATTTGAGACACATTTATCCATGATTGCTGCGATTAACTAATGTAATGTGGGGTGAAATAACGCAAATATATGGTGAAATGTTACGTATGTCTTGCATCCGATCCTTTGCGAGCAAGTTGATTTCAGTTGTAGGCTAGTTGGGCTTTAGTTTCTAGCGTATATAGCGAGATATAATTTCCAGGCACAGTAATATTGACAGTTTTACACGTTTTGTAGCTTAATAGTTCCATACTTTTTTCTTCACTGAAAAAATTTATCGATTACAGACGTTGAATCACCTTGGGGCTTGTTGTTATTGTGAGCATTCACTCGTGCACCCGACAAATTTTTCACACTCAAGATGGAGTGTTCTTGCCTATCGATCTGCCATCTTTTTTTTTAATTTTAGTTATGTTATGTTAATTATGTTTACAACACAAATTCGATCAAGGAAATTAATTAATTTCTTATATATTGCATTTCGTTAATGGGCGTTGTAATTTTTCCTATCGTAATGCACCATCTTAGTTTATTTTTTTATCGAGATAGAGAAATGTTTTAAATATTACAAGTGCAGTATAATACATACACATATAACGTTTTTGATATTTTATTATGTACTTTGTAATGACCTATGATGATTTTTTAATAAGCCCTGTTCTGAAATGAAGTTCAGTTAAGTCGACTTTTAAATATGGTCACCCTAAAACAGTAATTTCCGCCATTGTCCATGTATGTACATACAAAATATAATGGCATAAAATTTTGTTAATCTAAATGTTATTTTTGTTGCTTTAAATGTCACTTGTATCCGTCGTATTTAAGCCCCGTTAGACTTAAAACTCTAAACGCAATAAATAATTATAAAATATGGTTATACTTCTGGTTATAGGTATATAATTTTCTTTTATATTTAACCAGTTTTTAATTTTCTTTATCAACTTATTTTCTGAAGCCAAAGTTTGAAGCTCAGTGTAACTTGATTTAAATTTCATTCGAATTGGGCGAGTTAACAAAGATCACGCATCTTGTAACTGATCACCCTGTAGGCAAGAACTAAAGATCGAGTCATTAAATCTTATGTATTTACCTATGTAAATGAAGCCAGAAATAAATATATATTACTTAGAATTTAATTTAAAACAATGTATGACTTGCAGTCTTAAAAACTTAATATAAAATATTGCGGTCGCTACGATCAACAAGATTACTTCCGTGTCTCAGAGCACAATTAAATCATGCATACTCACATGTACATTGTTCTTTAACCGATATTTTATACCTGACACTGTATGAAAATGCAAGTGCATGTTCCGCTGCGTCATTCAGTAGATAAATATATATGTACAAATAAATATATATGCATCTATATCTGTATATTCCTGCGTATTTTTTAAATACACGACTTTAACTGCATATTATATCAGATCTTGTATATAGAAGCATAGTGAGTACATATGTATGTATGTGTGTGGGAATACGTACGATATACATGTATTATTCAGATTTTCCGTACTCAAAAGCGTTCAGAATTGTCTGAAATAAACAGAAGCCAGATTGATATTCATGCGCATATATTTACACACGTATATACAAACATACATATTCTCGCCAGTATATGCACACAAGCACACGTACAGATTAATCAAACAGCCATATGATTAATACACATTGGAACAGCTGATTCATAAGCGTCGCAGCCAATACATGTACATGCCCCACCCCCTCGCCCATATGTTCGTGCTCAGTTACTCACACACCAGCTGGCAGCGCTACTGCAACAGTTGATATAAACAAACTCAGGGCTGAAATGGAGAGGGCGCCCGTTGAAGGGGTCGCTTTTGGTTTTTGGCTATAAAAGATAAGTAATCTTAAAGCCATTGCATGGGGAAATAAATAAAATAGCTAATAATATAAATTTGGAGATGAAAGCCCAAAATAAATATTAAATAAACAAAGCAAAACGCTAATAAACTGCAGGTCCGCCCCTGGCTGTTCAAGGAAATCAGTCTGGCTGAGAGTCATTATGCACACACACGCTCGCACGAAACCTGCGCTCTCTCTCGGGCGCACACACACACTCCCACGGAATGTATCGGGCGCTGGTATGGGTGCATGTATCTGTATCTACGTGCTGCGGACTAAATCGTAAACTTTGCAGTCAGTTCACTTGAACAGCTGTGAGCGATCGACGTTGGTCGGGAACGAAACGAACACAGACACAGATACTCCACACGGACACGCATATATATGCATACTTATATGCATAATTACATACATCGCAGTACATGGGGGCTGCATAAGAAAACAAGTACAACAAAATCACAAAAATATACAACAAAATAAAAACGTAAAATCTTTTGCGTAGTTTATTCGCTCGCGTCGTTCGTTTCGTTTCTTCACTTTACTTCACTCCAATCCAATCCAATCCAAACCAACTCGTATCTCATCGCTTCGTTTTTCGTTGTGCTGCGCTGCTTTGCGTTGCGTTGCGCCGAGAGTTGCGTTGCTTCTTCAGCTCGATTCGGATTCGATTCGATGTTTAGTTTAGATTGACCAGGACAAGAAGAAATGCCCTAGTCTCGCGCGACTCCGACTCGGTGAAGATATAAGCAATCTAGACCCCTAGATAAACTCACTTACTAACTAAATCTAGTAACGAAAACCTGTGTGCATAAATAACGTTGTGATTAAGCATAGCTATAACTAAATCGCCCGATCCCTCACAGTTTTTTAAAAAACTTATTGTCAAAAAAACATTCGGTGCCAGCTGAATCGAAATTTCAAAATAAAATCTGCACGAAAACATTATCAAAATATTTGGTGTTTCAAAATCAACACGTAAAACAAATACAACCAGACGCGCGAGTGCGAGTGTGTGTGTGCCGTGCAGCAGTATTAGTGACCACACAAACATAGCCACATAAGTTTGCATTACATATGTACGTGTGTAGTGTAAACTCTCTGCACATAAATACGAGCCAATCTATTTAATTCAGTTTCAGTGCATTTATAAATTAATAAAATGTACATTAAATACGGAGAGCGAGTGCGATTGTGAGTGTATACGTATATAAGCTCATTACACGGACGCAGCGAACGTGAGTCTTGGAATATTGCAAACACAAAACAAAAAATAAATAAATAACGAGGAACCAGTTTCACCTTGAGGAGCAATACCTAGTGCACACTCACACCACCGCCATCACAATCACACACATGCACAGCATATGCAGTGAACGCGAGTATTTTGCTAAATGAAACAGCCCGATCAGACTGCGACTACGAATACATAGTTCACATAGTGCATAGCATATATAGTGCATAGCATATATAGCTCATAATTCGTGATAAAGGCCCTGGACAAACCGAACCCAAACCCGAATCCGAACCAGAACCAGAACGAAAACCCTCCGCTTATCGGTAACCCACCACTGCCACTGGTTCTGCGACTATGATTAAGCGGGGATCGGGACAACTGCCTTGGGATACAGATACCGACTCTGAGATGCAGATGACCATCCAGATACCCCAATATCACTGAATGTGGAAAGATGATAGCTAAGCCCAACCAGGCCACCACCGAACCACCATTCAGTTTTCGCCCCGGAGCAGTGCCAACGGTTCCAGCAACCACCCCAGCGAGTATAAAGAGTCCAGCCCCAAAACCGGAGCCACCACTACTACCCCGCACTTCGCAACCCCAATCCCCAAAGACTCGAACACAAAGCCAGCCAGCTATTACTCATCCAGCGGCTGTGGCTTCGCCTTCCGCGCCTGTTGCTGCAGCTGCACCGAACCCCGACACCCACACCCACACCCCCAACCTCAATCCCAGCCATCCGCACCTCGTAACCCCCCAATCCGAATCCAATATGGACGGCGAAAGATCTCCGAGCCACAGCGGCCATGAAATGACACTGAACATGAACGGCATCGATTCCAGCCTGGTGTTCGGATCTGCACGGGTTCCTGTCAACTCCAGCACCCCGTATTCGGATGCAACTCGAGTGAGTAACACTGCCTTGTCGACACTGCGCGAAAATTGGATCAAGTAATAGGTTCTTAATGATTTTATGCTTGAGGTAGACATATAGTTTCAGGTAGGACTACTCAATCATTAATTAAAACAAAAGAAAACTAATAATGTGAATTTTTAAAGTAATACAATGGGAGTTCCAGAGGTTTAAAATCGATTTTAGACGTACTAATATAAAATAGAGTTGCAGAGCACTTGTTCCTTAAAATGCAATATATATTTTCCCCGTGCAGACAGGGATGCATTTTAGTAGACACGTCATTTTGCCTCCCAAATCCCCTACCCGGTGGCCTGATCTCGTCGTCGAGAAGAAGATCCGTCCTATCGCCTCTATTTACATGTGCGCCCACTCAGCCAAAGTGAAATTCACGCCAGCGATGCACTTCTTATCAGCTCTAATGGGAACTACTTAGATAAACACGCACAGCTGTCTCGTCAAGGCAAACGTACTTCATATTCGGCAGCGAGACCCACATACGGAATACATACAAATACTTTTTCCAGACCGGACAGGTCAACAAAAAGTTTGACTGATAAGATTTCCTCTAGATTAGATTCAAGTTTTTTGCGATTATTTTCTTTGTTTACAAATACAAGCACGGCAAAACAATTAATGTAGATTAGCAATCGAACGGACGTTTGTATTTATTTACGCTTGTTCATAAAAGCTCAACTTCATTCTCTGACTTAATATGATGAAATACCCTTTTCAAAAAACTGATGGATGGGTATTTTGGGCAAATCGCCTGGGAGCACTGGCTGATATTAGTTCCCGACCATAGATACATTCACGGAATGCGTGGAAGTGCATTTTTTGTCCCCGTGCATTTACGGGGCGGTTGTACTCGCTTTTCGCTTCCCTGATGACTCACATTATTTGTCGAGCTTGCATATGTACATATATACATTTGTATCTGTATCTGTATCTGTGCGAGGCACTGTGCGGATGGATATGCTTTTCGAGCGGATAGTACGTCTATAACTTGCGCTGCTTAACTGTGACCGATACATATTGCTTTATTTGTTTACATGCTGATATGTTTTAGTCAAAACACGAGTTCCTTATGGCGATCTACCAAACCGCAAGAGTGTCTACAAGTATTCGTCATCTTGTTTACCATCCAGACAGTTTTGGTGTACCAGCTAGCTATGCCAGCACCAGCACCAGAACCAGAACCCCCAAATATTATATATTTGTATGTATATTTGGTCAGGAATGCACTCACTGCCTTCTAACCAAAGTTAAGCGTATTTTAGCAAATAAGTGTGTAAATAATTGTACGCGCACATAGCACACATAGCACATTTGGTGCATTGACCTTGCTTAGCAGTTTGTTTTTTACGGTTATTAGTGCGGACGGATGGAGGAGGCAATGGCTTTGCCTTTTGCCTTTGGCGTCACGAACAGAAAACTCAATTGCGTATTACCCGCGTATATACTTATATATGTATGTATGTAGTGGCATGTAGAGAAATAAGTGGGTACATATGTACTAGGGACAGGCGTCGTTGACTTCTGCGACTACATGTTTTATCTTTACTGCAAAAAATTGTATTAATATAGTATTCGAGCTGATGACCTTAGGTTCTAAGCGTGCGGCAGGAACGCTCGGTTAAAATCGAAAGCCCCAGTCCCAGACCCAGACCCAGACCCATTTCATCACTTTTACTTGTTCCCCAAAGAGTGTGTGTGTGTGTGTGTGTGTGTATATAATACACATGTATCTGTATCTCACGGATGCGGGTGTCTGCAACTTCTGGCCTTAGTATCTGTGAGTGTTTTGGGCCCGAGTCTGGTGTGAGTGTGTTGTGTCTACAAGAGTCAGTCGGGCTGCTTATTAGACTTGAACTGAACTGTCTGACTGACGGCGACATTGAGAGTGAGTTTCGGAGCAGAGTTGCGAGGGCAAAGGCAAAGGCAATGGCAAAGGCGATGGCACAGGCAAAGGCAATGGCCGATGGAGCATCGCATCCCGTCGGCCCCAATAGCATACACTCTCGTACCATCGCTTCAGTCGTTTCAGCTGAAAGTCTGCTCCACTCAGCCCGCTCAACTCATTTCATTTCAGTTCGGTTCAGTTCAACTCGCTACTGCCAAGGGTATCGCCATCGCCATCGCCATCGACATCGACATCGCCTCGGATGTGGCTGTGGATGTGGATGAACTCGCGAGGTACACGAACTGCTGCAAGGTCGAAGTTAACGCTATTAATAGGTAGTTTCTGCCGTCTCTCGCGGCGAGAATAAAACGGTTATTCACATTGGCCAAACGAGGCGACGCGTCACCGCTATGACCTATACCTATGATTCCAAATGATGGGCTACCGAGACTGAGATTAAGAATGTAATTGGCCTTATGCCCAGATCAGATCGAAGGGATTATCGAGGTGGAAACCAGGAAGCAGATGCGATTTAATGCATGCTCCCCAGTACATCGGCCCACTTGTCAGCATTTCGAGTGCGAGTGCCTTAACAACCGAAATATGCACATACAAACACAAACCATATTTCGTTTTAGGAGCGTTTTATTAACCTTGGCGAGGGACATTGAACTTCAAACGCCGCGAATACGTATTTTTCGTACAGATACAAATGCATACATACTGACATAGACAAGGCAGTATACAAAATACAAAAAAATACAAAAAAATACAAAAATACAAAAATTCAAAATACAAAATGCATACATAGTACCCATGTCGACGCACACAAATGTTCAGATGGACGGGTATACGTATAGTACACCTCTGGTGTGAATTTTATTTCCTAACTCTTTATCTGTGATACGTTAATATGCAATGAACATTTATATACGCAAAAGTATAATAGGTAAATGTGTTTTTCGCGTGAACGAATTAACGGAGCGTATCTACCTACATATTTGAGGTTTTTTGCAAAAGTAAAGGAAATTTCGTTGTTCCATAATTTATGAATACAAGGGAGTGTAATTATTTATTTGCTTGGAAGTGCCGGAAGCAACGTCGAATAAGTATATGTGATACAAAATCATTCTTTTTAAAGGGTGCTTTTAACCTTACCTAGGTTAATAATTAAATCAATATTTTTTAACTTGGGTGGGGGTTTGTATTTAAACTAAAAACGGCACTGGGTACCTTTTATTTAAGAGAAAAGGAAACTGTTCATTTAAATTGAGAATATATTTTTCGGTTGTCGATGCTGGACCCCTAAATATATATATAATAATTTATATTTTAGCCAAAACACATTTCTGTACAACTTAACAGATAGTAAGGTGGGATGTAAGAAAATGATAAATATTTTTTAATGAATTATGACTCTTGAATATAAATATTACAATTTAGTTTTTAGACAATAAACATTTTTGTACAACTTAAAAGATAGATGGGAAGTAAGAGAGCGATTAATATTTTTTAACGATTAATGAAGAATACTTTTATTCCAAAGAAAACGTTCACTTGATTTGTTGCACTCTGTGAAAAGTAAAAGTAATTAAAACTTCGATTTCCTCTTTTTTTTTGCAGACCAAGAAACATTCGCCCGGCCATATTAAGCGACCTATGAATGCCTTCATGGTGTGGAGCCAGATGGAACGGCGGAAGATCTGCGAGCGGACGCCGGACCTGCACAACGCCGAGATATCCAAGGAGCTGGGCCGGCGGTGGCAGCTCCTCAGCAAGGACGACAAGCAGCCCTACATCATCGAGGCCGAGAAGTTGAGGAAGCTGCACATGATCGAGTATCCCAACTACAAGTACAGGCCCCAGAAGAAGCAGACGCGATCCCCGGGATCGCTGAAGCAGAGTCCGGACGCAGACGGCTGCGAAACTAAAAATGACACGCCCAACAACTCACTGACCACGACCAATCTTGCAATTAATGGAGCCACCACTACCAACACTGCCGGTCGGAAAAGCAAAAGATCTACCTCTACATGTCAAACTGGTTCAGTTTCGAAGCGACTAAGGAACGATTCGGGTGATAACTCCAAGCCTAAATACGAAGTAAAGGAGGAGCCTGCCGAGCAGCACAATAACAATACCGTGGATATTATCCTACCCTCAGCCGATAATCTATTAAGCTACCAATCATCTGAATACTTACCTCTAAGCACGAATAGCAGTGCCGAGTGCGATGAGAAGCTACACTCAGACCTGAGCACGGGTCCGCTGGACGCCGACGTGGTGCATCGCTTCCTGCCGCTCTTCTTCACCAGCAACGAGGACTCGCAGCTGGAGGTGCACTCCTCGTCGCACAGCCACCACCACAACCAGTCGGATCCCACGGCGGGCCTGCTGGACGATCGCGAGGAGCTGTCCTCCGAGGAGGTGCTGCGCTATTTGCCCTACCTGGAGGTGAACTCCTCGTCGGCCGGTGGGCACAACTCGCTCAAGGTGGAGCTGGAGCCCAGCCTCAATGAGCCCGTGTTCGACTCCGAGGACAATATTGTGAACGATGCCAACTTGCACTCGGCCAGCCATCAAATACCTCCATATGTGCCTGATAGCCACGACTGCTTTGCGGAGGATTGCGGCGGAGGTGGTGGCGGCGGTGGCGGCGGCGGCGGGGACTGCTCCTCCCACCAGGAGCTCGAGTTCGAGGTGGTGCGTCCGCAGACCGTCACGATGACCATGACCTGCACGCTGCCCTACGGCGGCCCGGATGGGGGGCACACATTCCAGAACGACGACTTCAACCCAATGCCGTCGGCCGCCGAGGACAGCGACTGCAGCATACTGACCACCTCCAACTCGCCGCAGATCGGCTTCGGCAATGGCAGCGTCTTCGTGGAGGCGGACGCCATCGGGAACACTTGTACATACGCCCAACAAGACTACGCCGGAAATGTAATTGAAACACACAATGATCTCAACTACGCCGCACACGATAACAACGGAGCTCTACTAGCTTACACATTTGAGGACTTGCCGCCTCAGCCAACCGGTAGTCATTTAGAATTTAACACTAACAAGTACGAGTTTGCAAGTTATTATAAAATGTGAGAGATATTTAAGTTTTGTGTAATTTATAACTAATCTAATTGTACGTTTATAATTTTACACCAAATTATATATATATATATATATATATATGTATATGTATATGTATATCTATACAGATAAATACTATATATTCCATAAATTCTATATACAAAACAAACAACAACAAAAAAACGAGAATAAAATGCATTGCATTGAAAATATTTACGATGGAGAAGTTTCATTTAACTGCGTAGCGGCATATACTATACACTATACTGTATACCTATGTGCGTATGCGATATACGAGTGAGGGGATTGACCTTGCTAAATTAGATTTAAAATCCAATTAATTAGACTTCCGTTGGGATCTCGCGAATTATCTACATATGTTTATTTACACGCACAAATATTTTACATAAATCATTGGTGGCCAACGGAATAGGATGCTAAACCATCGTCGGTTGTTAGACACGATAAATTAATCCAGACAATAAAGTAGTATACATTCGTTTCACTTTCCGCAGTCGCCAGTTGACAGATTACAAAGTGCTCGCCTCGATATGTGGGATATTGTGTAGGCCGGAGTCGGGATTGGACCAGTAATAGTAGGGAGCGCCCTGGCTAAAGCAGAACTTCGTGTTCAGGGTTTCCCCATGATCCACGTAGTACATGAGGTAAAAATTGCACATCTCGTCTTCGTTCGTAGGGCTGTACACAATGGGTACTTGATTATCAAAAATACTTGTATGTTGGCTTGCAGAACACATACCCAATTTTGGTTATCCGATGTCGCGTACTCTCCATCGTACACCTCACCGCAATCTTGTCGCCCTCCACAATGGGCTCCCTGTTGCTGATGTTGTAGAACATCTGGGGCGTGAGGGGATCCCTCTTGCCCAGCTGCACCCACTCCTGTTCGCCTTCGCTGTCGGTCCTCACCCGGTAGCCGGAGACCACCTTTCCCAGGCCATGGGTGTGCACGCGGTACGCGAAGGGGTGCAGCACCTTATGCTCATTTATCTCGCAAGCGGTTTCCATGTGCTCCGTTTTCATGGCCGGAATCATTCCGTCTGTGCCCAGCAGAAGAGTGCCAGCCAACTTTTTAAGACTGTCAGGGAAATGTATAATTACTATTAAGATATATTTTAATAAGCCAAGAACTTACGGCTCTTCTGTGTACTCCAAAAAAACGCCAGAGTCATCGGTAGAACCATCTGAAAGAAATATCATTTATTTGAAATCCATTTAGTTATTACGTCCCTTAGAGTACTCACCTTTGAATTTATCAATGTGGGCATAATGAACTTGCAATACCAAGTACTTGATGGCCGAATTCTTGCCCACCTTGTAACCCACTCCCTCGGGCAAATTCAGCCTCTGGGCATCTCTCGCCCAAGCATATATGATCTGTGTAAATATAAGCACGAGTTCGGTTAATATTTGTTTTTGCAATTAAATTATTTATTAGCACCTTCACAATAATGTTTGTTTCTGAGAGAGTTGGCGAAGCAGGTCTCAAGTTTATGTATTTTTATACAGTCAAGAACTTATATTCGAAAAAGTTTTTTTTGGTTAAGATTTCTATTCTTTGCCTGTCATTAAAAAGCAAACCAAACTTCAAAACTTGTGCTTTGCTATACTGTAAAAACTATATTTTAGTTTGGTCTACTAAAAATATATGCGGTATAAACATTTTATTTTTTCCCTAGAATTTTCATCTTGAATTTCCTGCAATATCCATAAGTACCTTGCATAGCACTTAATTATTACTTTAGTGAAATAACAATCAGATACTTTCAACAAATTCTGGTTTTGTTGTTCTTAAGCTTTGAGTAAAATAGAGTAAACTTTTTTAAAATTGAATTGTAGTTTCCCCAATCGATTGTCATAAAATTATGACAGAATACAATAATAATTTTATGATAAAGTCGGCTTTAAACGTAAGCTAAGTGTAACTTTGAAAATTAAACTGTAGTTCCTGGAATTGATACTCATATTCATAGAAAATATGGATGAAGAGTTAATAACTTTTTATTTAAACTTGCCCAAACTTTGGAGGCTTTCCCACTTCTGTCAAAATAAAGAAAATAAAATTTTAAAAAAAATTTAAAATTATTAAAATTTATAATAATCCTATCCAGAAAGCCTGTCTCGAAGAATGACCCCTTCTATTTGCTGCAGGTGCAACGAGCAGATTCGGCACCGGGCAGTTTGCAGTTTGGGCAAGGCGTACCATCCGCACCACTTCACCTGCACGGAGTGCGGCCTGGTGGTGGATCCCCGCCTGTTCTTCGCCGTGAACGACGACGTGGTCTGCGGTGAGTGCTACCTGGGCCACCATGCCGCTCGGTGCTCCGCCTGCCGGACGCCGATTCTGGAGCGCTGCATTAGCGCCGTGGGCCGCAAGTGGCACGAGAGGTGTTTCCGGTGCGTGAGCTGCAGCAAACCGCTGATCTCATCATCCTTTTTCGACATCAACGGATACCTCTTCTGCAAAGAGCACTTCCGGGAACAGTTTTCGCCCCGCTGTGCCGCCTGTGCGGAACCGATCGAGGATCGGGCTGTGGTTGCGCTGGCCACCAAATGGCATGTGGAGTGTTTCAGGTGCTTCATCTGCCGCCAAAGGATCACCACCGGCGGTTTTAGGATCCACAACGGACAACCCATCTGCCTGGCCTGCTGCCAACCCACCACCATCGTCTTGAGCCCCCAAAATTTGTGTGCCTTATAAATGTCTAAATGTCTAGCGGGCTTTAACCTGATTTAAATGGGGAAAGAGGGACTTTCATACCTGAGAACTCGAGTGAGGAGCACAGGGACTGGCCGACTCTTCTTTGGAAGCTCGGTTCATCTCGCCACAGTTCCTGTTTTGGAAAAATATTTAAACGTCATTAATGGGTTGCAGTAACACCCCCAGAAAAAAATCATGGTAAATCCAAATATTTTACTTTGAATTAAATATTTTCGGTACTGATTTAGCCCCGAGGAGTGTTGTTTTTAAATCATTTTTATTTTTATGTATGGAAAAATTTAGTTTTTGTAGATTTCAAATTTTTTATTGGATAAAGCAATTAAATATGTTAATATTACATTATGATGCTTTAAGTTTACTTTAAATAACTTTATATTTTGAAAAACAATGTTATATTGTAATGTTCAATTTTACCATGAAGTTTTTCTCTGGGTGTATGTACTCAGCTACTTACCAAGTACTTTTCGCTGTTCCGGGCTCTCCGCATCCGTAGAGCAGCATGTGATGAGCCGTGTTCATGGTGGCATTGGGATTGAAGCCAACTGTAGGGATTACAAAAAATAAATGCATTTAGTTTTTAATTGAAGGTATTCGGTTAAAAGAACATACCAATATAGTAGGTGGTAGTTGGATCGACTTTGATTGGAGTGCACAAGTACAAGTCCGGCTATACATGTTTTGTTAGTTTTGTTTAAAAAAAAGAATATTAAATTGGATTAGTCAACAAGTATTATTCACAATCCAAATAACAGAGTGGCCTTCGGTGGGCCCTATGCCCTTTTTGCCACCCTCGTAAATTTCTGTATCTACGGCGCAGGTTCGAGAAGTGCAATCTACAGGTTTCAACGGATTTCAAGGCACTACATGTGGGTGTCGAATCGTGTGTGTATTCGAGGCACCTTAACCAACCATATGGAAAAATTTGCAAATTATACGAAGAGGTTTTCCAGATGCAAATGCGATGCACATCCCATATAGAGTGCGCCAGCATTGACATATACTCTAGTTCCTCTGTATATTTGTTCGTTTTGTTGATTACAGAGAAAAGTGTATACAGAAACGCACAGCTGGGAAAGTTTGCTCATCCATATGGGTCGAACTTACATATCTGTATATTTTGAAAAAATACACTTACTGTTTGCGGGGAAACCATGGGCATCAGGAAGGGAAACGATGCCGTTGAGCCTGTTGCCGAGTTGGTGTCCAGACTCTGTTGATACACCGAGTTTTGGTAGTTCCCCCCCTTTACAAGGCCGTCGACATTTATCAGGCTGATAAGCAGGAGGAATCCCACGGGAACGCTGATCTCGGATATTCGTGGCATTTTATAGCTTCAATGTCCACTGTATAATACTTTTTGAGAAAACGAAACAAAAAACCTTCCCGTGCGGAAGAACAATACGTTTCGTATTGCGCCCTGATATTTTTCACACGTAGCTAGGCCCAGCTTATATATATATACTTAGTACAAGTGCAGGTGTTATCGATACTTAGAGCCGTTATATCGATGGCCAAGCCAGGGCTGCGAGCTACTTGTTAGCGGTACATTTCAAAACACATTGCAAATGCATGGAGTACATGGATGTTAAATGAAAACTGGGGGTTAGTTTGCAGGCAGAACACCTGTTAGTAGTTGAAATACCCCAAAAAAGCTAGATTATATAGCGGGGGCTGCCTTAACTTCGACCCACTGGGAAAATCCCTTGCTCGCATGCGCCAAACAATTGATTTTTTTAAAAACAGAATTCCAATGTTTATGGTGCGCTCTTGGGGATTCAGTTTTAAGGCCCAAAGTTGGAACTGCTGGAATTTGGAAAACATCTGCCGTTTAAATGGAGGATCAGGGCGACGTGATGGACCAAGGCGCTGGTAAGCTGAGCAATTCAAAAGCCCAGGGCCCCAGAAACCGATGTGCCAACGGTAACGCAGGTTGAATGCAAACATGAGCAATGTTTAATTATTTACCAAACCCAATGACTTTTAGATGACCCCATTGTGAGTAGTCGGCAGGATTCGTCCAGTAAGCTGAACTTGATGGATGCCAGTTCGTTCAGTATGCCGCCTCCGAATCTCCACTCCTCCAAGGTGATCAATCCGAACAAGGCGATATTCACCATAGACGCCAACACGGGACAGATATTCATAGTGAACAACAAGGCCTGTCAGCTGTTGGGCTACTCCTCCCAGGAGCTGAGGAACAAGGGCTTCTTCGATCTGCTCAATGGCAAGACGGAAAGCCACATCTCCTCGCTGGCCGAGATGCAGATCGAGGGCGACGAGGGCCGGGTGGTGCTGCTGAGTGGCAAGGTGATCGAGATGAAGACCAAGACGAGCAACAAGATCCTCGTGTCGCTCTGGATCCGACAGATCAGCAGCGATGGCAGGCACATAGCCGTGGCTGAACCGGTGGAGAGGCACATATGTCACCTGAGCACCGATCGATTCGGGGTAATCACCTCCGTGGACGCCACCACTTCGACGATATTCTTTTACGAATCCACCGAAAGTGTGGTGGGCCTTAATGTCACCGCCCTGATTCCGTTCATAAAGCTGCCCGATCCGGACAGCCGGGAGTTGCCGAAGAACCTGCGAAAACAGAGGGCCACGGGAAGAACCACGGATAATGTGAAGTTCCCGCTGTGTCTGCTCCTGGCACTGGATGAGGGCTCAGGCCTGAACATCACCGTGTGGGTCTTTCAGAACCTCAGTGGCCTGCTCGTGGTGGACGATGTGGGCAACATACTGATGTGCAACCAGCCCTTTTCGCTGCTGATGTTCGGCTATGGCCAGGACAAGATCATGAACATGCATATATCCTCCATTCTGCCCAACTTTGGCAAGGACTCGCGGGAGGACAAGAGCCCCAATGTCTCGAACACGTCGATAACCAGCAACGACTGGGAGCCGGACACCGATCCCTTTGTCCTGGACAACGACTCCTCGCTGCAGTCCTGCCGGAAGAGTTCCGCCAACAAGGTGGCGCTGCCAGTCCAAGCCCACAACGAAGTCTCGGCGAGTGATGTCCACCTGGAGGGCAGCGGTGGACTGTTCTGCGATCTCCGCCAGCCAGACGACTGCACCATAGATGACATTCTAACGCCAGTGAATGCCTCGAATAGCTTTCCCGCCGACGAGTTCGAGGGAGGATTGCACGAGATGCCGCTGGACAAGGGCAAGTCCGACTCGACGGAGACTTGTGATGCCTCCGGCAGCAATCCCGCCACCAGGCTGCTCAGCTCCATCAACGGCAGCTTCGTGGGCGAGGCCATCCACGCCGACGGCACCATCATCGAGGTGGTCTACTCTGTGCTGCTGCAGATCCTGCCCTGCTCCAATCGGGTGTACTGTATCTGGGTGGGTCGCAACCCCAGCACTCGGCTGGATGGCGAGAAGTACAACTACGCGAACCTCACGTCCACATTCAACAGCATGGCCAGCACCATTGAGCAGTCGCTGGGTCAGGTCATAAAGAGCACGGCGGCCCAGAACTCCAGCAGACCGAACTCGCTGTCGCTGGTCTGCAAGTACGAGGACGAGCTCTATGTGGGGGACTACAGCAAGCACTACACCTCGATACGGCAGATCGGGCGGGGAGCCTACGGGTATGTGAACATGGCCTTCCGCAACACCGATCGACTGCTCGTCATCACCAAGTTCATTCTGAAGGAGAAACTCTGCCCGCAGTTCATGGTCAAGAGCCGCGACTGCAAGGAAGTTCCTATCGAGATTCATCTGCTGCAGACGCTGAGCCACAAGAACATTGTCTCAGTGCTGGATGTTTTCGAAAACGACCTCTTCTACCAGATGGTCATGGAGAAGCACGGCTCCGGCATGGATCTGTGGACGTTCATCGAGCGGCGACCGCTGATGGATGAAAAGCTGGGCAGCTACATTTTCCGGCAGGTGGCCGATGCCGTCAACTACTTGCACGAGCAGAAAATCCTGCACCGCGACATCAAGGACGAGAATATCATAATTGATCATAACTTCAACATTAAGTTGATCGATTTCGGCTCTGCCACCTTCATGGAGGAGGGCAAGTTCTTCTCGACATTTTACGGCACCACGGAGTACTGCAGTCCGGAGGTTCTGGCCGGCAATAGATACGTGGGTCCTGAGCTGGAGATATGGGCCTTGGGAGTCACCTTGTATGTGCTGATGTTCTTCGAGAATCCGTTCATCGATGTGGAGGAAACGCTCAAGGCAGAAATTCAGATACCCAAAGGAGTGTCCGACCAACTGAGTCGTCTACTGAGTTCCATGCTGAACAAGGACCCCAAGTACCGCTGCACCATGCACCAGCTGATAACCGATCCGTGGCTCACCCAGGAGGTGAACCCGTCGGTGTTCAGCTTCTCGTGGATTGTGCCCTGCAAGGCGCACGAGGCCAATCCGGATATATACTTCTCCGGCTACTTGTACTCCAGCACCTCGGTGCTGTCCACCATTTCGCCACAGGAGAGCTTCTCGCACATCGAGGAGTCCTCCATTGGCGGCAGTGATGATGCCAGACTGGCGTCCCACAGGATGGGTCTTAAATTGTGTGTTAATGAAGGTGAGTTTTAGGGATATACCTATTGCTATTAAGCAGTTTGTTAAAATTCGTTCTCTTGTCAGCCAAACACAACAAGATGGACACGCTCTATGCAAAACAGTTCCAGTTGAACACTTCAGTTAGTAATCACGAACTGAGGGCCTCGTTACCTGACTCCAACCACACCGAAATCGGGGGCTCCATATGCTCTTCGAAATCGGAAAACGATATATCTAAGAACAAACTGGAACCCTGCGTCTCTGCCTACAATGTAGTTAGCTTGCACGACGTGAGCACGAAACCTAAAACGCTTGACCTAAAGTAGAGTTCTATATCTGTTGTAAATGTGTAAATCTAACCTATACATACTGTCATGTGTAAATAGTAGCATCTGTGAGAGGACAATTAAGGACTGGGGGTCTGAAAAGAAATGTGTAGAAGAAAATAAATCAATTTTATTGTTACTTCTTATGTTGTTTTAGTGGATATCTTACCTTTCTACCCTGTTTCGGACAAAATTAAAACGTTATATTTTGCTTTATAGCGCAACAAATAACTGAATAACACTTTAATTGCTCCGTATGGAATCGACACGAGTTAACAACTATTTATACACACACATAAAGACTACAGGAAAGTAAGCGTTCAACTAAATATTTATATGGATGCTTGTGCGACTTCATTGACTAGAGGTTAAAAGCTCTACCAGATCATTTGATCACGTGATCGTCTTCAACGGAAGTAAATGGAAATTTATGCTTGCGTTTGCCAATCATCCAGTTATTAACAGCTATCAAACTTTTTACAAATATATATATATATACTGTAAGCATAAGCATTCTACAAAATGTATCTAAAATATCGTATCGGTGTTCTCGTATTTGCGGTCCCAATAGCCTCCACTATATAGCCAATCGTCGGTTTTGGTATAAGGGTTAGTTACGTATTTAAACCACCTAGAATTGCGAGTTGCGAATTGAGTGAGCAATCAATTGCTTTGTCAAGTATATTTTACCTGGGAGTCCATTCATCGCTACTGGTGGATTTCCTTTGTTTCCGTGTGTGCCTTTGTTTCTCCTCGAGACGTGTTTTCTCCTTGGACGCACCATCCAAGTTTCCCTCCTCTAAGTGTAATATATCAGGTCGCAGTCGCGAATCGGTAGGGCATAGTGTTAGCGGTGGTTTCATACTATTATTCATAGCATTAAGCTGCATCGCAAAATGCGTAAACTGGTAATACTACAAATAAAAAGGAAAAATATATATATATTTACAGGGATTTGTAGGTAGTAGTTATAACTCACCTCGTTACAATTTGAAGGTCTGGGCTTACAGCTCCATAGTGTCGTGGAGTCTGGTATGTCAATTGAATATGCAGAATCACTCTTTGGTATGTCACCCTCTTGCTCGAGCGGTGGGTAGCTATCGTTCTGAAATGTAACAATTTTTGAGATACTCCTCGATGGTAACTCAAGAAAGTCTTACACTTACATCTTGAATGGATAGGCTGCGGAATGAGTTCAGCTTGAAGCTATTTAATTTCGAGAACATTTTCTTAGGCGTTCCGTTCGGCGAACCCTCACAATCGTCATTCTTTCGGGTTCCCTGCTTCAGATACTGGATGTAGGAGTCGGCAGAACAGCATTTGATAAACTCGGTCCATTTGCCATACAGGAAGTAAATATTTTTTTCACTAAAAAATAATATAATTTCTTAATTTTATTTCTCCAAGTGTAATAGGTTTCTAGCTTACCTAGCATCCTTAACAAATCCCTCAACGCGATGCAAGTTTTTGGCTCCCGATCCGGCGGATTTGAAGGTGAGACTTGCCACATGGCCAGTGGAGTGATTGATGATTTCCATCTTTCCATATTGCTCTATCCACAGTCGGCCCACAATTATATTGTGAACACAGCAATTGACATTAGTCCAGCTATAAGATTCGTTCCATCTGAACAATAGGTTAAGTTAATAAATGTTTTTTTCTAAATAATATTTAGTAAAACTACTTTGGAAACTCAATGGTGACTGTTCCCTTGGGGTTCACCTCAACACTCTTGCCCCAAAACTTGATTTTTGGGTTAATGGTGCCGTGAAACTTAAAGTCTTTCGATTCCGCATGAAATGCAGAAACTGGAGGATGATGAGAAACTTGCTCGCAGACAATTCGATAGTCGCCCTTTTGCAGCTCGTATGTTTCACCAAGAAGTGGATTAAATGGTTTTCCCAGGCGCTCCCAGTTTGAGGCTAATGCTGATACGGCAAAGGCTGAAAAAAATAAATTATATATTTGTGTTATTAAATGTAATGTTGATTAACTGAGGAAGTACATATATCGGTTAAATTTGTGATTCAGTGCAAGATAAATCATATTTGCCTTTGAACATTTAGTCATTCAACCACTTTCTATAGGAAAATTTTAGCTCATAAAAACCAAACTACTGATAACACTCAACCACAGCGATATGTACATATTAGACCTCAAGTAGTAATCACTTGTTATAAACACTTTCTGTCTGGTGGAACACTTTGCTCAATTAAATCCTTAGTTTGCAATATTGATAGTTATATTTTTATAGGGTCTTAGAACCCCTCCCTAAACCCTGAACCCCACTCACCCGCTACGTATTTCATCCGTTCCGCCGGGGTTTCCTGGTGGGCAGCTTCCGTGAGGAGTTCCGCGTACTCCATGTACTCGCAGAGTCTCTGGAGGAAGCTCAGCGGTTCGTTGAGCATGACTGGCATGGTGATCTTGCTCAGGTCCTTGCCAATGCAGTTCTTCAGGATGGCCCAGATACTGACCTCCTTGCGGGAAATCATCGGAGCTGGAAGTTCGGTTCTACAAGTGATAAAGATAAAGATAGAAACGACATAAAGATAAAGATATAGAGGTAAAGTGATTGGAAGGGTGAGTCACTCGGTGGCTCTATAGACCACTTACCTTTCCACTTGATCGGTATGGTCGCCCTCTGCCATTTTTGGACTCAAGTGCAGCTATACCCGAAAAACTGATTGCCTTCGTGGGTTAATTGTGTGAGCTCAATTGACTACCAGTTGACCCTCTGATACGGAGACGAATAAGTTTACGCTTGGAAAGACATATGCGGAGTGAGGCGACGATTGGGCCAGTCCAAAATCTAAAAGGGTTTGAGCTTAATCTTAGCAACTGAGATTACTCGAGCACTCCGATTATACTATATATGCAGTATATATGTGTGTGTGTGTGTATATGCCATAGCTACATAGCTACTGGGTTGTATACCTTTTGTTCGTAGTCGCGATTTCGATGGATTGTAATCTTGTGACCAGGGTTTGTCACTCATTGATTTCCCTATTGCTAATGAACGCTGGGCATGCAGGTGTTGTGTGTGTACTGAGATCCGTTTTACTCCGATTCACATTGTGACTAAACCGTATTTTGTATTGTACTAATTGAGGTGTTTGCGTGTTGTACCTAGCACTTACTCTAAAATATAAGCTTTGGGCGAAAATTTAATCAATAGTGATAAGAAAGCTTTGGACGCCAGCTTTTCAAACGCGAAGCTTTTCGCAGAGTTGATTTGGCCAAATCGATTTATGTTTTTCTGTTTTTGATTTGTTTTAGGTCTTTGTGTGGGTGTGTTTACCATTCGATGAACACCTATATTCAGCAATAAAGTTGGTTCGACTTCAAGATACCCGCTAATCAAAAAAAGTTCCCCCTAAAAGCTTACGGAAAATTCTCGTTTCGCCCAAATAAAATTTTTATTTTTATAAACCCCTGAGTAAGAGTATCTATTTTTAGCCCTGGCATCAGTATCTTTTATTGGTGAAGGTCATTCACATTTTATTGATTGACGAGGGGGCGATAAGTCGTGGGCGTTTCAGCTGGCTGATCTGTCAACAAATTAAAAATAAGTGTATCGAATTCGAATCTTTTCGTTTTAATTAACCAGATAATATATATTTATATATATAGAATTTAGATGTTGTATAATTATTTATATTCCATATATACAAGAAATAAAAACAACATTCTCTTAACACTACTTCGGAACTAATTGACTAAAATGTGGTGAGCAGTTCCTCCTGGATGCTGTTCGATCGAAGTAGTTGAGTGGGTGTGGGTCCGCCGGCGACCGTGTTGAGGACCTTGGATGACGTAGCCGTGGCGTTCTTTAGGTCATGGTACTCATCGCAGAACGTCTGTCGGTCGAACGGAATGAAAATCGTGAGATGTGTTTTCTTTCGTTATAAAACAATACAATTTATTACCTTTAGACGGCTGCCCAAGAAGATGGCACGTTCACGTTTCCTAACCATGTAGTCGGAGGACATGAGCCACCTGTGCTCCAAGCAATCCTCGGTGTATGGTCGTTTTCTAAAATTGTGAATGAAAAGTTCTCAGTTTTGAATTTTCAAAAATAAATAATATCATCATGGCCATGTTCTGAATTCTTGTACAGAATGGGCTTTGATAAACAGCCTTGACCCTCAAATTTACTTCCTCTGGATTTATTTACATGATTACTATGTTAAGTTTTTCATAATTTCTATACCCTGCAGATGGGATTACCTTTCCGATAGTTTTTTTTTAATTTATAGAATTATAGTTGATGATATAGAAGTTTTAGACTAACACAAATTCTATCAATTCGCTTTGTTCATATTTTACTTAGTTTATATCCTATAGCTGACATAGAAATGTTCAAGGTCAAAATTGGAATTTGTCAAGTAAATAATTTATGTGTTTTTACTAGTCAATTTGAAAATTTTTGTTTATATAGAAATGTCAGAAATTATCTAAATCAAAATTGGAATTATATCTAGATTTAGATCTAGCAAATAATTTTGTGTTTTCACTTTTCAATTTAAAATTTTTGTTAATATTTGCAAATGTATTTAATTTGCTTGACGAAGAAGGAACTCTTTTTATTTATTGCTTTGATATAAATATCTTACAAACTTTTCCTTTCTTGTTTACACATCATCTGACGACTTTAGAACATCAAGGCAACTCGAGCATTGATGGTTTAATATACACATCTTATATATGTAACATAGCTGGCTTCAAATTATATCCATATGTTTGTTTACTTTTGAATTTGGAATTTTTGTTTATATTTGCAAAAGACTATATATAAAGTGCTTGTCCAAGGGCACTTTTATTTTCAAGTAGAGTTAAGAAAGAGGAAGTCTTTAATATCAGAGTTCTCATAACGTGTCAAGTTTTTAATGTTGTTGTACACATAGAAAGATAGAGGTACTCACGTGGGATGGCGCTTGAAGAGGAGCATTATGAATCGCGTGGCCTCGGGGGTGACCTCCTTGAAGAGATTCTCGAACCTGTAACGCACGAAGGAGATGTTCTGCTTGGTCTCGTACTCGTCGGCGCCGCGGAATGGACTGCATCCGGACAGCAACAGGTAGGTGAGCGCTCCCAGCGACCAGATGTCGCTCTGCGGGAAGATGGGCTCGTCGTTGATCATTTCGGGGGGCTGGAAGTCCAGCGATCCGCAGGGGGTTACCTTCATGCCCAGCTTGTTGACCTTCTTGGCCGAACCGAAGTCCACCAGTTTCACCTGAATGGAGCGCACGGAGGCCATGACCACGTTGTCGGGCTGGATGTTCAGGTGGCAGTAGCCGCGCCAGTGCAGGTACTGCAGGGCGTCCAGCAACTGGGTGACCACGGTGGCCACCATCTGCTCGGAGTACTCGTGCCGGCTGCTGAAGTAGGTCAGCACATCGGCTCCCTGCAGCTTCTCCATCACGAAGATGGCAATGGGCACATTGAGCGGCTTGTAGGCACTGAACAGCGCCGGGATGCGCTCGTGGCGCAGGGTCTTGAAGTTGTCGAACTCGGCCACCACGTTGTCCTCGTTGTCGTCGGTCACCTCCAGGATCTTGGCCACCACCACGGTGTCCGTGGACTTCTGGATGCCCTTCACAATGGTGCTGAACTCGCCGCGGGCGATCTCCGAGATGAAGCTGTACTTGTCGCTCACGGAGGAGTCGGTCACCCAGTTGGGTGGCTCCCGCTCGCAGTGGTAATCGGTGTGGACGCGCTCCTCCTCGGGCACCACCTGGTGCCCGTTCTCGGTGAGCTGCTGTAAATGCTTCATGGCCTTGGTGATGTGGATCTTGGGCGCATCGCCGCCCACCGTCGAGGCGCCCACCGGTATGCCCATCTCGCTCCAGCCGATGCGGTTCTTGGAGGCCAGCCGGAACTGGTAGCTGGTGTTGGGCTGCAGGTCGTGCAGCAAGTAGAACTCGTGGTCGATGTTGTCCGCCACCGTGGTCCAGGCATCGCAGTTGCTCAGCTTGTACTGCAGGCTGTAGCAGAGGACCGTGGAGTGGCCATCGTCGCGCGGCTGCTTCCAACGCAGCAGGATCTCGGTGCCGCTGTTGGCCGATATCTCCGGCGAGTCGGGTGCATCGGGCAGGGTGGCCACCACAATGCGGCACCGGGCCACCGTCTGGCCCACCTTGTTGCGGGCCACCACCTTGTAGACGCCCACATCGAAGTGCAGCGCCGGCTCGAAGCGCAGTATGGAGCGTCCATCCTCGTCCACCGATATCTTGATGCGCTTGCTCTCGGTCAGGACCATGTCGTTCTTGAACCACTGCACACACGGCTTGGGATCGCCCACGGCGAAGCAGTGGATGTGACTGGGCTGGTTCTCCGTGATGGCAATGGTCTGCGGCTTCTCGCGGAAGAAGGGCGGATAGCCCTCGCGCTGGGTCTCGATCATGGCATCCGCCTCGGTGTACTCATCCAGGCGGGGTCCCAGCTCAGTGCGAAGTCGCCTAATCGAGTAGGACTCGTTGGCCGCGTACATGCTGATGCGACTGCGGGTGCGCTCGTCATCGATCTCCTCGTCCATGATGTCGGTGAAGCGACGTCTCTCGCGGATTACGGGCAGCTGCACAAGGTAACTCTTTTCTTAACTTGATTCATAGAACACTCCCCAGCTCAATAACTCACCGACCAATCCACTGAATCGTTCAAGGCAAAGGATGGCGATCGGCGATGGGCCACCTTCATGTACTCTCGCAGTCTCACGGGGAAGTTGACATCCCGCAATTGCAGCAGATATGTATCCGGACCGTATTGGTAGCTACAAAGTACATATTTATTTTAGGTTAATTTAAGATTTACAAATTTAAATTAAAATAACTTTGCCTTGCTTTTTACTCTTGGTTAATATATAAAAAAAACTTAACTAAAATTGCCAAATCTTTCTTTATACTTTAATTTTGGCTTTGGTGACGGCTAAATCTTGCTTTTTACTGCGAATTAGTTTTAATCAAAATTGCTAAATCTAGATTTTTACTTCGGATTTTGTTTTTGGTGACCCTAATAAATTTGAATTAATGAATATAAAAAAAAAAAATATAGCACAAATGGCAAAATCTAACTTTTTACTTTGGATTTTTGATTACGATTGAATCTTTAAATGAGTTCTAAAAAAAATTTAAATCTAAATGGCTAAGCCTTGCCTTTTTAATTCCGATATTGGCTTTTGGTACATTTTATATTCAGTCTTTATATGTTAAATACTCACTGGCTCTCCGATTGAATCAGACCCAGTTCGTAGTCGGGATGCAAGTACTTGGAGACCACCTCCTCGCGCTTGGCCCGAATCCGTGGCTCCGGCAGTGGCTCCGGCGTGTTCTCCGGCGTGTAGACGTGTCCCGGGGGATAGACCATCTTGGACGGGTGCTGGAAGCAGCCGCTGAGGCGCCGTCTGCGGAAGTAGTTCTTGCAGGAGGCATTGGCATACCAATCCCTGAAGTGGTCGTAGTAGTTGCGCAGGCGGTCGGTGCCGATCTGGTAGTCATGGTCGTACACCTGGCGATCGAGCATGAAGAACCAGGGATGCTTGAGGGCGGTCTTCACATCCATACGCTCCTCGGGGCTGTACAACAGCAGGCGGCTGATGAAGTCGCGTCCATCGTCCGAGATGTGAGTCCAGATCTCGTCCTTGAAGTCCCAGCGACCCTCGCGAATCTTGGTCAGCGTTTCCCTGTCATCAATGCCCAGGAAGGGATTGTGACCACCGAGCAGGACGTAGGTGATCAAGCCAACGGTCCACATGTCGTGCGAGAAGTTCACTCCCTCCTTGTTAACCACTTCGGGGGAAACGAACTCGGGCATGCCGTAGTCCAGGGTCGACAGATTGTGCCTGTTGATCTTCCTCGACAAGCCAAAGTCAGACACCTTGATGAGATCACCGCCGACCACGGAGATCAGCAGGTCCTTGATCTGTAATATCCGAAGTTATAACTTAAAGAGGTGTTTCATTGGCAATTGATTATCTTCCTACCGTAAGACCCATGTGGCCCACACCCATTTCGTGCATGTGCTCCAGTCCCCACAGTGTTTGCCTGATATAGTGGGCGATATCTCGCTCGGTGTAATAGTCGCGTCTGAGGAGGTTATCCCTGACCAGCTCTCCGCCGGCAGCCAGCTCCATGATCAAGGTCACACTGC